TCCCTCCCCGCATCCCCCGCATCCCGGCCGGGAAGCGCCGGCTGTGCCGAGACCCGCGGCCAGCTTCCCACGGACTGCAGCCTGGAATCCCGCCGGGATCTGAGCAATCCCAGAGCTGCCAGCCCTCCCCGCCCCGGGACAGCACCGCGCCGGGCAGCAGGAATTACAGCCGGGCAGGGGAACAAGCAGAAGGGTGATGGTTACTCAGGAACACAGACATCGCTTGCGAGCTGCAGAATTTGAAGCACAAATGAGCAGTGTGTCTCGTACGTCACCAAAAGCAAGCGCTATGCCTTTTAATCAGGAATGCTGTAATATTTGATTACATTTAATTAAACCTTCCTCAATCTCACATGCAGGCTCGGTGCTCGGAGTGGAGCGCATTAAGGATTACTTCCCGGATAAATGCATTCCGAGCGAAGTTACTCCTCACTTCAAAAGAAAAAACCCCAAAAAACAGAAAATTCAGCAATAATTTCTTACTACTGATGATTTGCTCTGGAAAATTTCTCACTGAGTCTTCCGTATTTTGGAACATTGGTTTCTAAGGCTTTTCCACTTCCTTGGGAAACAGCACGTCAGGATTGCCAGGAAAAAGACAAAAAGTTGTGCCTCTCCAGTTTTCCCATTTTTAGAATAAATTTAATGCAACTGGTGTATCTGTTTGGCAGTTAACCCCAAAGTCATCGGTGTATCTGTTATTCTTCCACAGACACCAGGGCAATTCCTCCAAACCACCAAAGGCACCTTCAGGTAACTCCAAGGGTTTAAAAATCCTCGGCTCCGAAGAGAATGAGATGTTCCCGTCCGTGCAGCCCAGGTCCCAGCGCCCTGGCGAGGAGCGAGGGGATCTGCCAGGGCTCAAGAACCCTTGCAGCGCCAAGGTGCTGAGCAAGCGACTTCTGATCTCCTCCAGCCATACCTTTGCTGCTATTTCAACATTTATATTCCTCACTCGACCAGCATTTAAGTTTTGCTGCTATTTTTACAGAACTGCCTTAGCGAGCAGAGCCGGGTCCCCCAAGGACTCTAAAAATAAAGCAGCGAGGAGGACGAGGATGAGATGAGGCTTTGGCGGCGCTCCGGGCTCAGCGTTGCGGCTGCGGGAGCGATCCCGCAGCGATGCTCCCGCACGCCGGGGGGCTCCGCTCCCCATCGCGCTCCCCTCCTCTGCTCAAGACAGCCGCTCCGCCGGCCTCAAGACACCTCTCGACAAGGAACACTAAAGCCAGCAGCCCAGAGACACAACCTGAGCGCCGCGGAGCTGCCGGAGCAGCGCAGCTGGGACCTACCGGCGCGGCTTCCCTCGGCGCTGCTCCGCCTTCTCACCCAAATCCACGGCAGCTCCCGAGCGAAATCGCTTTTCTGCTGGGGGGGGACACGCCGGGAGCCCTGGCACGGTCAGCACCGCCGTGTCCGCACCAAGGGCCG